TTTTGCAAGGACACATATAACAGTTGGATAGAAGCAATGTTCGGGAACATTGAGTTAACCGTTCTTGATTTAATCTATAAAGTAGATTAATTTGTTTGGGTCATCTTGTATAAGAAATCCTAAAAAATATGAATGCATTCATAAACCACAAGTATAGATTCACATTATTTTACATATTTTAGATAGGATCTATTCAGCAAAATTTTGAGACGACGTCATCAATTGGGGGGGGGGGGGCAAAAATATATCTTGATTAAAAATTTGCTATGCTTACGAAATCTTTAGAACATCTGCAAGATTTCAACGCATTTGGTTTTGCAGATTCAAAATTAAATTGCTAAATATTGTTATACAGTTTTGATTTTTTTTTCAAAAATCTGGAAGTAAAAATGTCTATTAGTAAGTACTGAAATAATTTGATGTTCTAATCGCTCGAGGATTTTTTTACAGTAATGTTTTCGTCAAAGCTGAATATTAGTGGCCTTTAAATATATTCTATAAGGTTATTTCAATAGAATTTTCTTCATCTTGGTAAGCATGCTTGTGAGATTGTATCTTCCAAAGATTATTATTTATTATTATTATTTTTAGTAATAATAAAATAACAGTTATAATGTAACTGTTTCGTTTCTAATTTATAAAATAAACCATAAATCATTTTTTAGAAAGATCAGTTGCAGTATAACTTTTAAAAAATTGGTTGAAAGTTATTTCGACTGAACCTCCCTCACCTCTAAAGCAACAAATCCCACATTTTTGAAAAAATTATAAAGTTTCATTTTGCAACATTTTACTTTTTTGTGATCACCTCTATAAAGCAAAAACACTACAGATTACACTAGTCACAGTGTAAGAGAAGATAAAAGCCCACGATTGGACCATTTATTAATGTAGAAACTTTTGTAATTAAATTGACTAGACAAATTTTGGTTAGCGTTTTACCTTTCATAACATACATCTAAAATTTTACAGACGGACGGACGGAAACGGGAGATCGATTGTGTCGTACTCTAGGGGTCATGACAGGTCCAATAAACATTGAACTAGCCATTCGTCAAATGGATCATATTACAATACTCCTAAAACTTACGTTCAGGATTAAAAATAAAAGCAGTGTATTTTTCTATTTGTTTAATATCCGTGATAATACAGTATAGCACGAATGTATTTGTATGCACGTAATTGTTTTCCCACAATTCTCAAGAAATTCTGTGAATAGTGTCTAAGATAATGGATAAATTAAACGGGTTTATATTTTGTTGCTTCTTTTGGGTGAAGGGGAAAGTGTCCTTGAAGGAATGTAAGAACAGAAGGGATGGACCAATAAAGCTTATTTAATGCATCGAATATAAATAAATCTAACATATATCATCAGCAGAATTTCGGATAAATTGCGTTTTCATCAAAAATACAACCCAAGAGAGCAATAAAAAACACGATTAAAGACAACCATGGATTTTTAAAAGTTTGTCTTTGATCGTTGCATTTTCAATTCAAACTTTCAAGCTGACGGGTAATCTGACTGTAAATTTTCATTGTACATTTTTTGTACATATACTCTAAACCAAAAAACTAGTTAGAATGTTGGATAAACCACAGGCAGTGACGCATGTTATGTCATTCTAAGAGATATTTATTTGTCAAATCGATAACCAAATCAATTTTTTGGAACTTCTGTATGTACACTAGGGTGATTCAAAAAAAAAAAATAATTTTTTTTTTTCGTGCAAAGAGGTTCAAAAGTTTCTTTTCAACGTAAAAAAATACCAGTTAAAATTTGAGCTCTTAATATTAATATTAAGACCGTCCGCATCGCGTTTTTCTATTTCCCATAAGAATAACATGGGAAAATTTTTGTTTGCACCTTCTGATTTTTATTGCTAGCCCGTCGTGTGTCGTGAAAAAAATTCAATCACATATTTTTATAGAGAATTGAACGCTCTACAAAAAGTGTCTCCTATGATTGTGCGAGAAACCTGATAGTTGAAGAGTTATTTTAGGCTAAAGTTAAATTTATCCAAATTTTGACGTTTTTGATGCATTACAATAAATTTGATGGTCTTATTGGAATAAATCACCACAAAAATTTATACACATTTTAAATTTAGTTTTTTAAACAGTAATTGTTTATAATTTTATGCTATAATAAGGCCAGTAAAACTCTTTCCGAACATTTTCAGCATCAGTGGGTTAAAAAATCATAGTCAGGTTTCTCGCAAAATCATAGGAGACACTTTTTGTAGAGCGTTCAATTCTCTATAAAAATATGTGATTGAATTTTTTTCACGACACACGACGGGCTAGCAATAAAAATCAGAAGGTGCAAACAAAAATTTTCCCATGTTATTCTTATGGGAAATAGAAAAACGCGATGCGGACGGTCTTAATATTAATATTAAGAGCTCAACTTTTAACTGGTATTTTTTTACGTTGAAAAGAAACTTTTGAACCTCTTTGACACGAAAAAAAAAATTATTTTTTTTTTTTAATCACCCTAATGTACACAAAATAGCAATATAACAACAGATACAATCAATAACAAATAAAGCTCTTAATTTGTGCGCTTTTCCTTATTAACTGTCATTTTGCATGATTTTTTTCCTCCCCTCTTCAAAATGCCACAATGATCTCATCTACAGCTGTAACTTCAATTACAAAAATTATTATAAGATTGACATTAAAAAAAAAAGCCCTTCGACCATTCAATGACTTTTCACACAAACTTATATGGTAGTTATCTTTTCGAAAATAGTGATATAAGTCTTATTTAACTTCCTTAATCATGGTGTAATACGTTATTTTTTTGCAGTTTGTTTTTAATGATGCCAATTTTTTTGTTTAGTTTAAGACAGTTTAATAAACGAAAAATAGAAAATTTTACTAGAGGACTTTTTCGCTTTTTAGTTACTTCCTCGCCAAAAGAACCACAGCAACAGCATAATTTTGATAAATGTCTGATTTCATAATGTAAACATTTAGATGTTTGTTTTTTAACGTAATGTTTTTCTCTACAGAACACGTTCTCTACCGCGATAAAATCGAAATCAGATTACGAAATGAACGCATTTTTTTATACTATTGTGATTAAGTTTTTTATCGGCGCTATTTGGATGGAACCATGGATGGAACATCCTTCTCAAATATTGGTTCACTGATTTGTTTTCAGTTTTTGACACTGACATCGCTTGATAACCATCAGTATAATTACCCTCCATTCTTCAAAGGTTTGATCACAAACAGCTTTCTCAGACTGAACCCAAGAGAGATTTTCTTTACTTTGAATGGTACCTCATGCCAAAAAAATGTTAGCATATAATTATATCTGCACTACTAAAAATATTCGGTAAATTGGGCGAGGTGGAAATTCAATGAGGAATTTAAAACGTCGATTAAAATTTAAATATGACTTTCTTTTAGATTAGTTTTTTACATATTATTCAAGAAAAAATGTGGGCGACACACAAAAAAGTGTGTTTGTCACACTTGCCTGAGCGTTGCACGTTTCGCTCTTGTTATACACAAATAACTAATGCACATCCGCATGCATTAAAGTGCAAATGAGTTTCATATACAACGGTGTTGATAAAAAATTGAAATGTTTTTCCTCTGGTCGCATATAGAAACTGATTAGTTTGTAAAACGTGGGTAAAGAAAATTGGTACCCATAAAGTTGAATGCTGGTCGTGACGTTATATCTGTCTTATTTTAGACCATATTAAAAATGGACTTTGTAGATTGTACCCGGTACTTATTTATTTGTAACAATGTTGTTAATAATGATAGTGTTACTACCATTTAAGTATAATAATATTGACAAATAAATGAAGTTGTTCTTGCGAGATCGAGGCGCGGTCAACTGGGACGGGATAGAATACACTGCTACAGGTGGAAGGTGGAACAATACACTATGATGTAACAATATCACCATGTACCTATGTGTGAGTGTGTATATTCCGTAAACTCGGTAACGTGTGGTGGTAGTAGTAACGAGTTGCAATTCTGAATGGTTTTTAGTGCAGTGGCGTTCGCGTGAGGAAATGGGACGGAAATGATGCGGGAAAGTGGTACCAGTGCGTCTAAAATCCACATACAGTGTATCTGTGCTTATCTTTTTCCGTATCGTCGACCCTTATGGATCCAACCGACTAACGTGTCCAGCTTGTATTAATTAGAATTAATGCAAATCACCAATTAATTGTTTGAAGGTTCGCGTTCTATTTATAACCTTCTCAAGTAGGTACGAGGTTTTCTCTCTTTGTCCGTTTTATTCTTTAATTATGTCGCCTCCTACAAATTGCGCAAAGCCATTATTGTCTGTGGGAAACGGCAAAAATTTCTAAATTTCCACAAATTAACTGCGAGTTTAGTTTCGGCCAGAGATGGGTGCGTGTCTCCCGCTGTACGTCTCGTTACGTTACGACCCGGTTAAATAATGATATAATTTGATGGACGTTACGCAATAGAGTAATTAGTCTTACTAGATTCCGGATAAACTGGCAAATAAACGTATTAGAGAATTTTTTCCACAGTGTGTGCACAGTACATGTTTAATCACCTGCGACCGGCCGCAATAAACGTAATTGTTCATAAACACGACAACCTACCATGGACTCATAATAAAACCTAAACAGCAGTTTAATTTATGTTCGTCTATAAACGTCGAACGGCTTTCCAATCGATTCAATCGCCGGATGTTTACAATTTCGATCGTGCGTCGTTTTGAAGGTTAAAAAGCACGGCCCAACAGCGCCACCTTTTATTGTTCTAGCTGTTTTAATTACAATTGAGACGTGTCGGTACTTAATTAGCTTAAAAACGTCCCATTGTTCGGTTGCCAGTGCGAAAATACTCACGTTTTTGCTGCAATTCAAGATTGTCCTGTGCTATGAATGGTGGTTATAGTTTTCGTCGACGACCCTACAGGTCGTTCACAATTTCCCGCCAAAAAAGTTACATATTGTTCGCGCATCTTCATTGAACCGGGCTTGTTTTACGCGCAGGTCGAACCGGGAGAAACCTATGCAACCACCAAAGAAGGTAAGTACGCACAACCCCAAAAACCCATCTCTAATTGAGAACCACAGAGGAATGGGTCAGCAAGAAGAAGACAGAAGTGACCAACACCAAGCAAATAGAAACTCGAGTCAAGCGCCAGGTGGTCCTGGAAGATGGCAAAGTCGTCGAAGACTCTGGGCCCATGGTCACCACCAACACCACCGAAGACACAGAAACCCAGGAACACCACCAGACCGAGGTACGTAAGTCTTTAAGTCGGTCCTGGAACTGAAGCATCTAAGATATTTTTGACTTACCTAAAGGTTGTTAAGAAAATTCGAAGGCGTACATTTTCCACTCATAATTTTTGTCTCCCAGTATAGATTCAAAAGTACTTTAATTGTTGTCAGGTAATGTTAAGGTAATCCACCTGTTTACAAAGTTCTAATTACGTCAGTAGTGTAGGTCATACTTGTTTAGCTTCTTTGTTGGTTTTGCTATGCCTCAGTTACTAAAGAATATCAAATTAAGTACTTATTCAAAACACAATTAGCCACCTTCTGTCTTTATTCCAAGCCCAGAATTAGAATGTTCTTACTTGTAAATTAAACCCCACTTAGGGATCAATCCTTTCTGAAATTTCGGTCCCACCTTATCTGAATCCTTAATCCTATAAGACTGTTCCTTGAGACTGTTCACGTATGTTAAAAAAACTGTTAACAATAGGTGTCGTAAAATCTTTATCAGCCTTCTGTAGAGTGAATAACCCGCTGAAAAGAAAATAGAAAATAGACGTTTGACAGCTTACTCTCAACGGTCAGGGTGTACCAGGTCTAGGTTCAACCTTCATCGTACTCTACCGTCACCAGTCATTTTCTTTCTAGACGCCGGTTATGTTGTCATCCTTTTTTTAATCAAGACACTTTGCTTGTAGCTGCGTAAACTGGGCGGCGATGACGAGGTCGACGGTCCCCGTGCCCTTGAAGGGCCTGGGAAGGAGCTCGTGGAGAACGATTCCAAATGGGTGGCGGTGCCAAACCCGGACGGCATCGTTAGGGAAGTTAAAGAGAAGAGAGTTATCTCCCGTGAAGAAACCGAAGAGGTTAAAGAAACGGAAGACGTGCAACATTTCGGCGACATCACCGATGAGGTAAGAAATGCCGATGCCTGATAGGTCAATCGCGACCTGCCACTTACGCCCTTTTTGCGGTGTAATGATCGCGAACGCGCGTATATGTGGCGGCGGCTTTCGTTATTGTGCATAGGAGCGATGGCCATCGAGATTCGTCCCTGTATACGAGGGGGGCAGAGAGAAGACGGGGCCTCCACGACCAGTCAGACAACCGTTCACCGGCACTGCCGAAGACTTGAAACCAAGCAACCAGCACAAACTCAGTACCAACAAAGACATAAAGTGCTAATCAAGTGATAAGTGCATAGTATTTATGTGAAAGTATGTATTTTTCGCAGTGTTCTAACGGTGTCCCGGAAAAATCCCGTCGGTGAAACTCGCGACGTTGCGTCAGAAGGGAACTGCCCTGGAATTCACATTCTTGCACGTACAAATGGCCGCAGTTTTCTTCAGTTTTATCAAATTCGAGTCCGCGATGATGCTATTTATATCTCTGACATTTAAACCGTCTTTTTGCATGGCCTCAACAATGCATTGTTGAAATTATTATTACTTTCTCGAGCGTTTAAACGTTGTGAATTGGATTACGTCACGGAACCGCTTCGGAAAAAATCCACCGCAGGTCTTTACGTTTGTTCGCTAAATCACAATCGTAAGAAAATGTATTTGTTATCACCACGACAACAATAATCTTTGCCGTAGCCTTCACGGAGTTTTAGTTTCGAAAGAGAATGCTCTCGAGAAATCGCAATGATTATTATTTATAATACGGTCCGTGGTACTGGTAATAACTGGGTCTCAACCGCCTTATTGTCCACCGTCATTATTCGGTTAGCTGGTTGAAAACGACAAAACTGGACCGGACAGATCTCAGTTTTATTCAACGACCGAGGCTTGCAACATTAAAAACGTGATCCGCTTAGACTGTGACGAAATCGCACACTTGTCCGCCGTGCCGATTACATCAAGGACGTCGAAAAGGCGAACAGAATCGGGCCCTGCACGCACCCTTGTGGAATTCCGCGGAGAGAATACGCCCGACTGTTACGCCTCGCGGTGGTGTGTTTCTTTTTTTATTTATATTTTTGCCAGGAAGTTTGTCCCCTTTGATTACGAGACAACACCGGGAGAAAGTACGCCAATCGACCGACAGCAGCAACTTTATGCCATATACCTACATATGTTTCTGATTACGTAATTGTCCCGAATTCGGTGAAATCTTAATGGGTGATCAATCGAGATGCTCACGTCAAAACAAAAAACCGATTTCCTGTTTCTGTCAATCATTGGCACTGCTACACACTTTCTCCGTCAGTTGTGCGTCCTTTTAGCCATCGGGGATGAAATTTTCACCGTTGACGACCCAGAAAAATAGACGCGCGGAACGAAAAAACATATTTGCCCGATGTTTGCAAGGTCGTCCGGGCTCGTCAAGAGCCCTCAACCTTGAAAACGTCATTTCCTGATGCAAGCGTTGTATTACTGTCAACAGGATTTCCTAGCCGCCGTGAAAAGCGGGCGGAAAGATTTGCGCGAAGTCCTACGAACAACGAAAGACGGTCAGACGTTGGTATCTACCGGTCCCCGTTTGGTCCTCGACACGTCGAAAAGCAACAAAGTTATAGACACGGAAGACACGCGCGAACTGAGCTCCGTACTGCCCGATGGGAAAATCGTGACAGAGACGCAAAGAACCACCGAACACGAAGAGATCAAAGACGACGAACTGCCCGAAGACGCTCCCGAACAAGATTTCTACAAAGAGAGTTCACAACGATACCTGAAAACACGTGACCAAGAAGATGTTGATTACTTAGCCGACGGTGTCAAAATCGGGCACGAAATGCGCTTCCGCACCGAAACGATGGAAGTCGAACGGCACGGAGACGACGATGACGAGCCCGATTTCGACTCGTTGAGTGCGAGGGCGAGGAGAAGACCCAATAACAGACCACCTCACAGATACAGAGGTGAGAAAGCGCGATTCGCGTCGTAGCACCGTGACTAGTTAGAGTTCCAGGTTTAGAGAACGGGATCTCTCCGTTGGACAGGAAAGACGCACTGACGAAGAAGCCCTTGGATTTCGACCAGGAGGAAGAGACCAGAAAGGTGGAAACGTCCAAGTGGCTGGAGCACCATTTCGGGAGCGAATCAAGGTCGTCGAATAATTCCGTCATTGACGATGAAGAACAGCCACCTAAAACTAGTTTTTTTAATGTGACTATCAAATCGCAGCCGACCAGAGCCGAGACACCACCGCAGAAGTACATCACGACTATCAGCAACGGACCGCGCGTGTACAGTCCAGTGGAGCCCGAGAGGGACAGGCCGCAGCATTCCGAGTACTACAAAGGTGAGGGAGACGGGCGAAACTTTCGGGGGCGTTCAATTTGTCGTTGCAGGTATTAGTCAGTGGTCAGAGCGTCACCAGATTCCGACGACCACGTACCATCAGCCGGAGCCCGTGGCGTACCGTCAGGACACGCCGATCTACGTCCATGAACCGGTGACGTATCCTCCAGAGCGCCGTTCGCCCGTCGTGGACCGTCTTCCACGTCATTCACCCCCGCGTCGTTCCCCCATCCCAGATTACCGTACCAGCTCGCCCATGCCCGCTTACCGCGAACCAATGCCTCCTCCGATCCGCATCTCCCCCATTCGGGAAATCACTCCGACACCTCCACAGCGAAAACGAGTTTCGGACCGTCGTCACCAAGTCGACGAACGCAGTCGCTACACGAACTCCCGCCTGACCAACGGTCGCTGCAGCGAACCGATGGCGGAACCACCACCGGACTACTCGCCGCCGAATCCGTCGCCCAACCATGGCGTCAACGAGAAGAAGGCCATGCAGAAGACGCGTTTCGCACCGGACCCTCCTAAGGCGAAGAGCGGGAACATAATAGGTGAGTGACGTTTTTCGCATCGACCCACGTGTTTGCTTTCCTCGAATCCACACCTGTTGACACACTCGTATTGACATTCGCCTAGTCAAGTTCGCAAGGATAACATCATCGTTTTTGTTGTTGTTCTCGGTTCAGGCCAGTCGATACGCAAATTAGTAGGAAAGATCCGTTCGGCCAGCTCCGAGCGCAAGGCTAGGCACAGGACGAAGAGGTCGCCGAGTCCTTCTTACCAGAAAGGCCACGTGATCGACAACAACATCAGCCACCACGGCAACGGCCACATGGAGAACAACAAGCAGCCCGTGCACAGGTACTACCTGGGCGAGGACCCGTTCGGCGGCAGCATCTTCGGCAAGGAGAACAAGTACGACGGGGTGAAACCGGCGAGGAGCTCCAAGAAAAAAGAAGAAGACCACAGGTGAGTGAAGGGGCAGGAGACGCATCGATGACGAGGTCGGTTTCACGGCAAAGGACTTATATGGCGTGCTAATTAAGTTTTCTATTGCGTCGCACAGGTGGTTTTATTAATGAAAACGACCATAAATATAACTGAATTTGCATCTGTGTGGGCGTGTTCGGCTGTATTTGTTACAGTGCGATTGATCACGTGAAAGTCAGTGCCGACCATTAGCGCACATTGAAGTATGTTTCGTATCGAAGAATTTGTCCGCAGGTCTACTGGACAGTCGAGAGTGTGAAAGTGATCTTAAATTCTACACAATCTGTTAAAATATGACGCCGCTACGGGCGACACACGGACATTACGCCGTTGCGAATAGTGTCACCGAGTCCGTGACTGAAAAAATAGTGATTTTATAGTGATCAAATCGATGTGTTGACTGCCGCAATTACATCACCTCTTTTATTGTCACTGAATCTGATGGCACTTAAACATTTATTATCTATTTGTGCGAAACGCCGACATGAATGAGGTTTGTGCAATAATTGAGCTCTTCAATTTGTTATTGTAAAAGTAAAACGTTGCTCCGTAATCGAAGACATTCTCATTCATTCAATGCAAAACAGATGTTTCATATTAGATCACTGTTAAAATGAGCCTACGAAGTGCGATTGAGGATCGGCGAACAATCAATAGACCATATAGTTACGAGATTCTTGAACAGATTACCTCCTCCACCGCAATTTAGATTTCCTGACATAATGAATAGAGAATGAGTCATGTAAAACAGAACCATACCCAGAATTTGTTGAAAAATATTTACAATGCAAATAGTTATTGTGGACACTTGATCGAAGCACCTTTCCGCTTAGATATTCACCAAGTTTTATTTAAGGTTATCGCTAGTCGAAATACTTAGTTTTATTACTCATTTGGAATTTTGGAAGTTTGACGCCACGAAAGAATTGTTAACAGTAACCAATTTACGATGATTCTGTCGTGGGTGGAAAACTACATATTCTTAACTAAAAATCAAGTTTACCCACTTTAAATTGACACCTTCCAGCACTTTACGGCATCTGCAAGACAGTAGGATTATAACGGTGATTTCTTCATGTAAGTTCGCTTTAATTAGGTCAATACAACAAAATTGACTCGAGAATCCACAATTGGCAAATATGGAATCACCACTTGGCTAAGAATGGACTTTCTTCCTTTGTGCTCATTGCTGTTTATGGACAACATTCGAATCGTATGATATTCGTGTTCCAGATTCAGGTCGTATCAATTGATTTTGTCCTTAGAAGAGCTTAGTCGGATAATTAATCATTATTACGTTTTATACAGTGCAATCGAAACTCTTTGATCAAAGCCACATTCGATTAGAATACTGCATGCCGGTGCACAAGTAATCCGAGGCCGAAGAGATGTCGAGGTCCTCTAAATCCTCCAAAACCCAAAAACTCATAGACCGAGGAATGTATTAAATGGTTTAAGTTAATTTGCATCGGTTGTTATATACTGTAGTACGATACATTTAAGAAAATGATTGAAAGTGTGAGCGTTCTAAATTCTTTAATCGGAATAGTTTCTCAGCGATCAAAAAGGAAGCCACTAAACGACTGAAAGCTGTTTCTAAAAGGAAACATACTGCATGTGAATGCCTTAAACGTAAAGTTTTTACAAGAAATTGAAACTTTCTTGTCTACGCTGCAGCAACCTTATAAATCTAATTTAATAAATACAACGCAGATCCTTACCTTGTTGACCTCATGCCATAAATGAGGTGTCACGTACGCCTCTTGCGTTTGTTACGCATCCCAAGGAATTACGGATTGTATAGGTTTTATTTATAAATATGTGGGCGTGGTGGAGTCGTAATTCAGAAAGTAACTGAACATAATTAACATCAACATCAACAGTTTCAAGAATACAAAAATAAACATTTTATATACCACTTTTTTTGTCAAATCGACAGGAGTGTTTACAGTTCTAGTAAAGGAGGCTTTCTTATTTTATTTTTCAGAAGTGTTTGCGGTGTATGATGGTTATACTTACACTCAGATTGTAATGAAATGCAGACCGATATGATAGTTATGTATTTGTTAAAATAATTCATTGTGCAAAAATATGTCCTTTAATCCCACATAGATGTCAATTCTACATTTGCTTAACACCGCATGGAAATTTTGGTGTATGCAATTACGTGGTACAACTTCCTTGCCACAACACAATCTTTTTTTGCATGGTCGTGTAAACACATATCTTGTTTGTTTAGCTGTCTACAACTATGCCACATCTAAATTTGGTCACAACTATCACACGTAATAGTACTCATAAAAATCCCGCGGCTTTCGCAGATTTCACATTTTACAACACATAGAGCGCAAATCACCTGAAATAATGACGCAATGGCAAAACTTCAGACATAAAAACTAGCGAATATGGAAATTTTGTGCCTTTGTTCATGTTGAAATGTCCTTTCGTCCCATGCCGTACGCCGTTGGCCCACGCTTTCGATATTAAGGCGATCAGCCGGCGGCGTGGGCATCATCCATAAAAGCCAATGTCTAAACTGTCACGACCATTCCAGGTCACAGAGTACCCTGGGCCGCTTCAGTAAATCAACAAGTCGTCTGCTGAACAGCTCGGCGCCCCACGAACGCAACTCGCAGACCCTTCCCCGGCACCTGTCGCGTCACCACGAGCCGCCGACGAGGCTCGAGAAGAACAACAAGTCGAACAGCACCATCAACGTGTCCATCATCAACACGGTCTCGCGGACTTTGGGACCGCAGCTGGGGCCGGCTAAACCTGCGAGGACTTACAAGTCGAATCTGTCTAGAAGCAAGAGTTTGAACGTTCACGCGAACGACTACAGGAGACCGGGGATGTACACCAGCAACCCCCATCTGAACAGACTGGACGAGAACCCCGTCGGCCTCAAGAGTCCTGGATTGATTTCCAGCCTTAGTAGAAGCCAGAAAGACCTCCACGAAGACAGTGTATACACGAACCGTTTTGTAAGAAACGGCACCAGTGAAAACACCAGTGATAATAAAAGAGTGTTCATGAAAAGTTTGAAGGATAGGGCGCCGGAACTGTTCAAAACGCTGCACGAGGACGAGCCCGACGCCGTGGTCTACAGCACGCCGGTGAAGAACCACCACAAAAACAAGTACAACGGAGACATTTATGAGCCGCCCACGCGCTTGAGGGAGCCGCAGTCTATTCTGAGGAGAGGCAGCAATTCAAGTACGGACTATTCTGAGACTTACCACACCACGACGAGGAACGACGATCCGCTCAGACCTAGCGTTACGAATACGATGAAAAGCTACACCAAGAAGACTATACCTTCGAAGAATGGTCGCAGCAGGGAAACGATAGAATCGAGCGAAACGAAGTCGGTCACGAAGAGCCACTACAGAGGGGACCCTAGCGTTAAGTTTTACGAAACCGAGCGGAGATATAGCGGGGGAAGTCCCGTCGTTATCGAAGTCAGAAACAGCAACTATAGGAAGTAACACCAATTCTTAACTTTGTATACTGCCATATAAACTGTCATTATTTATGTTAATAGTTTTGTTACTTTTACTAATGGCGTTTTTGTAATTGTGATTGTTTGTTGTTTAAAAACGAGGGTTTTGGCATTTTTAGTGTGGTAGATTTAGGTGCTAAAATTCCCTAAACTTTTGTATCATATTTAAAAAAGTTTTGTCTAACTTAATAATATTCATGAAAACAATAATCCTAGAGGTATAGAATGTGCCAAAATAATTTGTAAATACGAGCTTATTATCAACAATTAAAAGTTTTAATTAAGCAGGTCTATTTTATTAAGTTTATGGTCACTGCCTGTGCTGTGACCTTCAAGGTGGAATAAAAGTGAGAAATCTTGACGACCTTGGCTCTAATCAAATGTTTTTGTGGGTTTGCAAACACCACATTTGCAATTCTGTAGACTCTCTAAACATCTGTAACAGTTTGCAACCACCTTGAAAAAAAATCACATCTTTCCAAATGAGTATAACTGTTGCAGCCTTGTCAACACGAATCACTATAGTATCCCAACTATTGTTTGAAGAGGCCATTTGGGTACCTATCTCATTCAACAAGAACAGCTGTGCCTGTTTTTTTCCACTGTAGGTCGAGTTCGCCATATAGGACACCACATCAAAATCAACACTAATAAACTTGTTCTGAATAGAAGTCTGCGATTTTAAAATGTGAACAGATAGAGAAATATCGTTTCTAATTCAGTAAAGTGTTACTACATCAAGTTACACTGCTGCAATCTTGTTGAAAAAACGTACATTTACCTCAAAAATGCATTTATATACCTACAGTTTTTCGAATAGTCACCTGCAGTGCTTCTTCAACCTCGAACTTCATCTAGCAAAAAATGTCTTTTCTTTAATGCCTCTGTTGCAATATCTTTCATTAACAATTTCTTGATTAACCTCAGAAGTCAAGATCACCAAGGCTTTCAAAGAAACTTCTAGAGGAGATTGCCAATGTTTATCCGTTTACGTGACATTACGTCTTATCGTATCTTAATTATGGAATAGTTAATAATTAATTTCGAAACATCCAGAATTCTAGGAAAGCTAAATCTAGTCAAAACGGTGCAAAACCTGTATGGGAACATTTTTGTCATTCATTATTTGCAGCGCCTTCGTGTTATCTTTACAAAATGCAAAGATTTTGTTGAGGTCAAACCCGTTGCACTGGTAATCCAAAAACACAAACTGTCGCAGTGTAATTGAACTTATGAATTATTTTTAAAAGGTGTTCAGTGTAAATTTCTTAGTTTACAAAAACGTAGAGGATCAAAGAACCCGATACTCAGTTGAATGGCCTTTCCAATATTATTTATATGCGCGGAATTACTGTTGTCAATTTTTTGCATAATAATAAAATTTTAAAGGTGTGCAACTTTTCAGGGTCGAAAACTCGATCGCTGATTGCTTTTCCTGACCTGGCGCCGGAGCAGAAACCTTTCCTTTATTTTTGGTTAAAATTTATCGAAATTATTGTATTCGGTGGTCAAATTATGTCCACCTTGTTTTTGACTTTCGTGTATCTAACCAAATTCTTAACGCGAAGACGCAGGAATTTTTTTTTAATCGAAAAATTGTGAAATGCAAAAAGAGTTTCAATACGATATATTTTCAAATCTCCAAAACTTGTATTTCATTACACGGGAAGTATAAAAAGTGACTTAAGTTCCTTCCTTTTTAAATTTACTGTTTCAAGCAAAGTTTAGTTTACAAGTCTTATACTTACCATTTTTTAATTAATACACATTCTTGTATCTGCTCTTGTAGCTTCACACCTAAAATTTTGCTAGTAGGTATTCAGACTAAATAATTCAGCACTAACAAGGTCGACGGAAATTTATAAAAAAAAAAGTAGATATATTGGTTATAATCACGTTGTATTTATTCTGACTTCCTACTATAGGTAGGTTTTATGACGTTAATTCGTATGTTAATTGCCACATCTGAAAGTATATAAACAAGATTAAAATGACTAAAAATATATTCATACTTATACTATATATATTTCTCTTGTTTTGATAGATAAGAATAATGTGTCCAATTTGCAAATAATGAATATTTAATATTTTAGAATTTGGCACCGCAATAAGTAGATGAGTAAATTTCTGGGCTAAAAAGCCGATGAATTTACTTTTCATTTCTCAAGTAGGTACTCTTATAGGTTAAACCATAAATATATAAGTACTTGAAAAAACTAGTGGTAGCAATAACAGTAGTTCTTCTATGGAGGCATAACTATATTTACAACTTCATTATTAGAAAGCTGAGTGATCTCAAACTACACGGACGAAAATATCCAATTAAAAAATGTATATTACACATCTGCGGATGAACCAAACAAATGATTAAATAAAAGGCATTTTAGCTGTTTTTGAACTCCCGTATTATTTGAAAGATTTTAAATCCAAAGAAAATTATATTTTATTCGAAATGATTAAGTTAAGAATGGGGCATCCCGAGTAACCGAAAATAAAAAATGTTTATGAAAGATATTATAACAAATCTAAACAATAATCTATTATAAGTACGATGAACAATTTCCACTTAATATTCACGGCAGTGCAATTACTCAGAACAGGTTACACATGGGACTTTCGGTGAACAATTTGCACCCACATATAACGTGTCTATACTAGAATCGCCGAACAGATGTAGTAATCACGTGAAAGTCGCATGAACAGCCCGTGCTAAAGCTTTGCTGAATATGTAGGAGCTTCAAGACACGTGTTGTCTAATTAATAGAAACGCTAGGAACGTTACTAGGTCTTATTACTCTGAATTTGTTTAGAGATTCTAGTTTAGAGTTTCATCCCTAGGGATAAAATGTGTTACTTTCGACATATTCAGGGGGAGTAATGAACCTTTAGTTTTAACAACACAAAAAACTTTTTTATGCTGCGAAGTTGTCTGTGGAGAATGTAGACAAGCGACAGCTTTAGCATTAATTACACTAACTTTAAGTGTCCATGACCGTAAAGAGCGAGTACATAGGGCACAAATTTCATCCGACACAAAATGAAAATGAATATTTAATATTTGGTTTGGGTAGAAAAATTGCGGCGAAACAGTACGTTATGTACAACAAGTTTAGCATTAATTTTCTGCTGTGCTTGATAAATGGCAATTCCGAACTGTACAGTCCACTTTATTTTCGTTTGTTTTATGGCTGCAAATTGGTATCGAGAATTAGTTCTGCGTACATTTAAAATGTACGCCAATCAACGACGGTTGGGGTGGGAAGTCGTGGTAGGTCATTTTCGTTCAAATCTCAACCCGTTGTTGTCACTTTGCTTCGTCCTTTGATTTTACTATTACTTATTGTCACGCAGTACAATGTATTACCTATACATAAAACATAAACAGAAAATGATTCAGAACCACTGTCAGAAGGTCGAACTTCAGTGATTTAACTTAACAAACCTAATAATGTCAATTTGAACTTTCGTTAGACGAAATATTCAAATATTTTTTCTTTAAAGCTACCTAATATCTTCTATTGATACTTATTTTTTAACAAGACTCATTTCGAAAGAATATAAAGTGCCAATCATATTAGTAAATATAATGTAAGTATAACTAATACTGAATTTTACATTAGTTATGATTTAACCATATGAATAGAATTTCGAACTCATGTAATAATGGGCCGATTGGAACCTTATGTAATTATTATTCAAATCGTATAATATATCATAACCAGATGACGTTTTTGTCGATTGTTTCTGTGGAGAAAATTTATTGTTCGAGCCTGATTAGTGATTACACATGACAGCTTATATTGGTACTTTCATTTCTACGGGTAGGTTGGTACATAATTGGACGTCTTTTCTGTCAGTACTTAATCATTTATACAGTTTTCCTATTATTTGTTCTAATTAAAGTAAATATTCCATATTCGTATAACTCGTATCTGAACAATAAAATATCGAATTCATTAATGTAAAAATTCTGCATTAGGTAAATATGTTCATTTTTTCAACAACGTTTTTGCAGTTTCTCTTTGTTCAATTTTTCGAGTCTCTCTTTTATAACATTTATTTTTTTAAGATATCTACATTTTCTAAAAAAATTAAAACATCACGAACTACTAATTTCCTGAAATGTTAGTCAATGGAGGGGCGAAAGCTTTTTTTTTCTCTACTTGTGAAAGTTATTTATAAATGTATGTATACACAAATAAAAACTTCATACTTGAATATATTGAAATGAAAAAATACTTCGAAGTCATAAATATCGAAACGGGGAATTCAAATCTGAAGCTACCTTCAAAGCGGTCCTCAGTTTCTATTCGTGTTTCTAACAATCTCCGCTCCACGAAGATTCTCGAACGACTTTCATGACAGTAAACATTTGTAAAGTTAGGAAAAACTGGTCTGTATAAACTGTCGTTTATAATTTTTAATTTGTAGTACAAAAATTGTATTGACTTTCATAAGAACTGATGAATGCTTAAATTATTTTAAAGTAAAAATTTAAAAATTAATTTCTGGTTGTGTATGGAACAGTGAAATTTCAAAATGTCAGTGAAATAAAAAACTCAACCCGATTTCGAATTTGTCTCCAAAATAATTTTTGATTTGGAAAATCATTCTTACAAAAATATTCGTTGTAAATTGTTACCGTAAACGAGTAATTTTCGAGTGAGAATTTAAAATATTGAACTTGATTTACAAGTGGATACCTATTGCTTTTGGTTATAAATATTTATGGCAAATTTTGCATGAAATGAGCATATTTTATACATATTTGACGTATATATGCGTACATTTTAATTAAAATTCAGACATTTAATTCTAAACGCCAAACAGAAATTTAAAAAAATGTTTATCTTATTTTATCTAAATAATACTGTTTGTGTACTTCTTTATGTATGCATGGTAACTCTGTACCTACCCAAAATTATTTCAAAACTACTACCTGCGTCAGTAATAAACTACTCCATAATAAGTTACACAAGTAATTCTTTACATCCTATAGATTTAGCTCTAAATTTGTTCTCCAGAATTAAATATTCTGGATAGTTCGCAGCAGGGATTAACAACCTTAACCACAAATAACAAAAGCGTCTGCACTTCAGAGTAAAGTTTGAAAGCGAAATATTTTTATTTTATTATTATTTATTATAATAATTTGAACTATCAACATTTAAAATTAAGCAGTTTATAATTAAATAACTTCACATATATATATAATGTTGTTGTTCTTCAGTTTAGTTCACTAGAATATTTTTGTAACAAATTAGATAATAAACACAGACGAAACGTTCTCGAGAAATTATAAAAATTAAAAAAATAATATTAAAAAATGTTTCAACTTCCAAAATTAAATCAATCTTATTAAAATCTTAGATGCGTATTTTTTTGAGACGTAAAATTACGGTTTCTCTGTCATTTCTAATAAGACGACAGAATTTTTGCCGACTAACTTCTGATTCTTTAATTGATAAAATTCTTTAAAAAAGAATTTTCTCTTATAATGTTAGAAAAATAAAGGAAACATGTATTATAATTTCAAAAGGAAATGTCATGAGTTTTAGAATAACTTTTTTTTCTCACAGTATGAAAATTCGATTTCAGAGAAAGAAAAAACTGCGAAGAAAAACCTTGCTGACGAGATCGGTTTTGTGCCTGCGAAAATTACCAATGTTTTTATAACAAATGGACAAATTCGTCAATATAAACACTTAATGTTAAACTTTTAGTATTACTGTGTTTACTAAAAACTGAAACATAAAACAAAAATATCAGCAATTTGGATCAAACATGATTTTCGGAAGAGTAAAACTGATCCCGTTGGCACGAATTTTTTGTTTTTTTTTTCCCTAAGGTAAAATGGCAGCTGATAATGATCAGCAGTGGTTATTAGTTTTTTCGCTCCCTGGAATGGAAAAAAAATTGAATTATAATCTGTCAAATTTCCTTTTTAGACTAAACAGCGTGGTATAATTTTGGAGGAAAAAGTCATGATTACTAAAAGTTCCATTTTACCTCTATTATCAGTTGTTTATTTGATATTTGCATCACATATCACATCAATATAATGCAGTTTTCCTGTAAATGGGGTTAGAAGTAAATACCACAAACTTTAGATAAAAAATGCTTTTCATGCAAACAACTGTACAGATGTAGATGACAATTTGAAATAAAAAAAATTCTGACGTCAAAGTTTATCATTAATTCTAGGCTTAACTATAATGCATAAAAACTTCCCAATATTTTTTCGTTACAATTACAAAATGATTATATAATTAACATGTTTATTTAAAATTTAAAAATACATCACACCAAACTATTAGCTCTACTTGATAGAAAACAAGAGGAAAATGATATATAAATAAGTTTAATAGAATTATTGGGAAGCAAGATGAAACAATACCGATGAAATAAAAAATCATTGACCCTACCACTCCTGTTGACTCATGGCTCTAGCTTGGGCTCGTACTCTCTTTTCATATTCCAAACGATTTTGACTAACACAAAAAAGATAAATAAATGAATCATTTATCAGAGAACACACCTACCAGTAAATTGTGTAGGCCTCAGCTTGTGCAGGATCCTTAACATTAGGTTCGTTTAACAGGTCTTGTATTCCGAGCAGAATTTGTTTAATGGTGATGGCGGGTCTCCAGTCTTTTTCTTCGTCTAGCAAAGACAAACACACGGTGCCTGATGGATACACGTTTGGGTGGAATAGCGGCGGTTCGAATTTACACTTCGGTGGAATGCTGGGGTACTCGTCCTTGAACAACATACGAAGTTTGTAGTTTCCACCTTCCCACGGTGTCTGCAAAAACAAAACACAATAATAACCAATTAAATGACACACATGGCTACTTACTCCTTTTTTTCCAGGGATCGAACATTCCCAGTTCATTAAGTTCAAGGAGCCATCTGGATTTTTGGATGGACGTGCAACAAATCCCTGCACAAATTGCATTAAAAAGGAGCTAGTTATGTATGCAATGGTACTTACGAAGGGATGTTCTTTACGCCAAGCTTTCCTTTCCTCGGCTAAACGAGCGGGTGCTATACCAGACATACTAAAAATTTATCGAAATAACGTGATAGTGTTAAAACTAATGAGGCACAAGTACCTAAAATTTATTTAAGTAATTGGAAACGTGGAATCTACGATAATTAACGGGGTTTAACACAAATTTTTACAGACGATCCAACGGCCTTCCACGGTCAGGTCTTGTTTTGACGTTTGACAGACAAAGAAACTGATTTCTGATTAGAGGAGTTCCGCGTTGGCGCGTTTGTAGTGGCAACACTGACGCATAAAACTATTTTTTATTGATTAAATAATGTTTTTTCAGCGATAACTGAAACCCGAGTAGGTTTTAGTTGTAGTTTATTATGAAGAATAATAATTCAAAACTGTTCCAGCACTGCAAATTTCATATTTTTCTTACAAATGTAGCTAATGTTAGCTTGTGCGTCGCGACGTTTCCCTCCAAATTTTTGTCGATAAAACAGGCAGTGTCGGTGAAGCGCGCTGAATTTAAAATTGTATTCATTCGGTTGTGGATTGCGATTGTACTCTTGCAGCTAGCATGATGTCCGCGAATTTTTTAGCACATTTGGGTTGTTGTGGAGTCTCTCCGTTGTTATTTTTCTGGTTTATCTCTATCGTAGTGTTCTCTCGGATTTTCGCGTTTTCTTGGTCAAAATCTTCTTGTATGAGCTTCAGGGCTAAACAAACTCTTGAACTTGGCTAATGATTAATTTGCACACATTTACCTTGTTCTAAATCTAGCACGTCCATATCTTGATTTTGAATCATGCGAAGACGTTCTTGAAATTTCTCGGCCAATTTTTTGCGCCTGTAATCACCTTCGATTTCTTGTTTGGTTCTAGGTACTCTGAACTTGACGCAGCAGCAAATTAGGATGACTGTAATACATTCATTTAATTTAGGACGCGGCGGGGGTTTACTTACTTAAAATAGTGAGTCCAGAGAAGCAGAAGAACATAACATGCCAATTCCTAAAGCCATTGAATGCTGCTTTCTCTATCCAGGGCTCGTTTGTGTCGTTGGGATTCGCATAGAACGTGGCCATGATGAGGTGGATTGGGAATAATTGAAATGAGGGGTGGTTCTGTGGCCGCTCCCAATAACACGCCTAGTACAGACATTAATTTACACATGAAACTAATCGAATATGTGGTTTTGACCCGACGCACGACAGTAATACCAGCCAGTTAGAGGGTTTAACGCAATTTTCGACTTTAAGTGGTTAAATGGTGTTTTGGTGAAAACAGCAGCGTGAAAAGTGTGTTTCGGTGCTAATTGCAAGTTGCGTGTTTTTGAGTCACCGTGTATATTGACAGTGCGTGCGGTTTGAATTTAGCGCGTCGGGGTCGCGCCCGGTCGAACTTAGCCGAAGGGTTCCGAAGTGTCAGAAACGAACCGCTCACACTGCGGCAAGTCTCCTGTAACCTTTTTAATTTTCTTCTGGAACTGTAATAAACCAATGTCCCCGATGTTTTGCTCATGATAATAATGAATCTAGCCATAACGAGAAGTGTATTAGTGGTGTTTGATCGTCTAGATTGTTTGTGAGTGTTGTAAAAATAAACGTTCAAACTGGCGACCGACAGTGATAGCAAGTCAAACATGGCTTCTTCGGCGAGAATTATCCAAAGTAATTCCGCCTGGTTTCAGAAGAAAATCAATTTGAGGCCGCAACACAGGGGCGTACATCTGGTCACTGAAGAGATCCTCAGGCAGGTGCCCGAGCTGTCGCAGTTCGCTATGGGCCTCTGTCATGTACAGAGTAAGTTCACATTGCCGGACGCAACGTTAAGGTTAATTCGCGGCGCGTGAATCGTTTTTTACACGCTTGTTGTTTTCCAGTCCTACACACCAGCGCCAGTCTGGCACTCAACGAGAGTTGGGATCCAGACGTTCGAGACGACATGGAAATGATGTTGAACAAGATCGTGCCAGAAGGGTTGCCCTATAGGCATTCCTGCGAGGGCCCTGACGATATGGTGAGTGATAGTGGAACGTCCACTTTGACAACGGCGAGGGGATGTGAATGGGGTTTTTGAAGACTTTTAGTGGTGGAAGGTGTTCGTTAACAAACCGTATTTGATTTGAACCAGATAGGACAATTTACTGTGGATGCAGTGAAGTATACACAGAGAAAATTCGTTGTTGTACTAAATTTGCATAAAATTGTCTCAGAAATTAAATTCCAGTGTTTAAGAAACCAACAAGGAACTTGTTTTGAAGTTGAGAGTGACTTTGTTGTTACAGTTTATTTTATAAAATTGACTGAACTCAGTCTCAATTTGATACATAAAGGATGATACTGTTAATTTACACATCAAGAATGCAAAAATACATCTATAAACCATCAGGAATAACATAAACAATACCACAAAAGCAATCCTTTTAATTAGAGCTATGTTTAGTATATCACAGTTGTAGACTAATATACACTAAAAAGAAGTGCATACTGTGCAGATGCCGTTGTTACAAGTATGTGTAATTTTTTTGTGAAAAATTGTATACTATGTCAAGAACGCTAAAAAATTTAATGTAGGAACACAGTAACAAAAACACTTTCAACTAGGCCTACAGTTATTATACTAGGTGTCTCTTGTTTTCTGTGGAACCGCTCCAATATTAACATAGGTATCAGTATACGGTAAAAGCTAAATTTAATGACAAGTTATGTACTAAAATAGTCATAAGTATTGTGGCAAGATGGTTTTTCAAAGTAGGAAACTCAATCTTTTTTTATTTATGTAAATAATTTCATATTCTCTGGACGCTTCATGACTCGTAGAGTATGGAAAAGTAGGTTCCCGTTTCCGTCGGTCTGTCATATGTTGTTAGTCATCTACAGAACTAGTGATTGTTGTGAAATTTTATATGTAGCAAGCGATAAAAAGACCCTCCTAGGTGTTTATCCTCTTTTTCAGTTGTTTGTGCTTTTCAAGTTTAACATCATGTCAAGTACTTCAGTCTAAATACAGGCACGTTTTAGTGATAGAAGTCGGGTCAACAAATAACTAAAGGGTTTTTTTCGCTTGTTATTTTAGGAATTTCGTATAGATCGTAAAATACTTTACTAACATTTGTCAAATCATTTACACCACCAATTTGATGACATCTTTTCAAAATTTGCAAAGTCGTGGTATTTAAATTTTATAAAATAACATACTTCTGTACCTGTGGTTTATGAATCCGTGCTTATTTTTGACCTTCGACCTTTATATTTTTTGGAAAAAAAGTCAAATTGTGTAACAACATTTTACAATTTAACTTCGAAACTGCAAAACGTAGTACTCTGAAATCTTACAAACATATTAAGGTTATTGTGAACTTGATAAATCGCCAACGAAAATTTGTCTGTATATCTTCTCTAAAAACTTGATGACGCCATCTCGAAATTTTGCGCGATAAATCCTATCTAAAATGTGCAGAATATGATAAATCTATACTTGTGATTTATCATTCCATTCATAACTAAATTGATATACGTATGTACAGGGTGAGTCACCTAAAAGGGGACACCTCGAATAACTTTTTTATTTATTAGCTGAAAGTAATGATTAAATATGCAAGTGGAACATAATAGTCCGCGTGCATACGCAAATTCACACCATTTAACGTTGTTTTTTTTTCAGATAAATAAAAAATAAATGAAATAATTTCGTAAGTCTCAAAAATAGACGCTTCATTACTTGGTAAAATAAAAATTCAGATAAATAAAAAAATTGACGAATTTTTTTTTTTTTAATTTTACCTTCTATCAATTGCTTGATGTTAATACAAGCTAGAACTAATTCGCCTTTATTTATAAATTAAATTCCTCTGTCATAGGTTCATGAATAAAAAAGTTATTCGAGGTGTCCCCTTTCAGCTAAATCTCCTCTATATATTTTCATTTCATTTAAGTTAAAAATTTTCGTAAAATTTCACAAGGATCCTACTATTTATACAAAGAGGAATGTAATGTAATTAGTGTGGTATAAAATGAACAACTTTGTGTAAAAAAAGAATAGAGTAAAACGCTTGGACAAATGCTTTTTTTCATTCCGCGTATACAGGATGTTTCAGAGCACCATTCTATAATTTTATTGTCGAATTATGTGGCAAAATATAAGTAAAAAATTCCAGTAAAACTATGATCATTTCTCAAAAATAGAGAAATTTTAGAATTTTTAAATTTGCTACGTTATCAAAACTGCCGTTAATTTTATTAACAAAAAAAAAGTTTCATACGTTAAAAATACATGTTTTTTTTTAATTCTTGCAGCTGAGTTGCCTTAAAAATGCTATTATTACGTATTTTTTGATCTAAAAATTGAACGAAGTAGGAGTTGCAATAAAAATTGTTCTCTAATCATGATTAACAGTGGTGCTCTGAATCATCGTGTATATGTTGGAAATAAGTTGAAATTTTCTTCTCTCTTAACGTAGGTTTGAAAATAATTCTGGTTGTTATTAAACCTAGCTTTTACCGCACCTCGACTTTTCAATTCACAAGGGAGCTATTTCCTAGGAAACAAAATCTGAGGCAACAGTGTTGTGCTAAGCCCTATTGAGTCGATATCCAGTTTTAAACACGGGTTTTCTCACCAACAGGAACAATAAATTTGTTGTTTACGCATTTTTATGAATCTCTTAATCTTTTCGGCGATTCTAGTATATTTAACTAAATTCAGATTAATTTTTTTATTTTCGTACATTTATTTATTGCCGCTGGAAGCTGAAATAAAATATTTTGGAACTGCTGTATCTAGGGTTTTCAAAAGTAAAATAGAGTTGTCTCTAATTTAAAACTTCAGTTGTCAATTCTGCTGTGAGCATATTGCAAATTTTTAATTTAGTGGATGTAATAATCACCCTACCAAAGGAATATCTCCCCATCAGTTGAATAACTTTTATTTGATTGATGCACTACGACGGCTTGTCCCAAAAACGTTCTATAGCTGCCCACGCGGCCACATTCTGATATTTGGAAAGATTTTCTGAGATAATTTCATCTCAAGATTAGTAAAACATGAAACATTTTCTGTAAATATTTCGTTTTTGCGTTTGCTGTAAACAGTATAGAGTGCGATAATATCAATATTTTGGTGTTTGGTTGAAGTTTGGGATACTTGGTATCTAAATCCAGTAAATTTAGGTTTATTAAAGACCTGCGATTTCCATGCTTTCGGTAGAATAGTGGTATGAATATATTATAGAACGTCATGATTCGAAATTGTACCAAATTAATGTAAATTTATTAAAATTGGTAGAATTCTAAGTGAACTAAACCCAGTATGTGCTGTTAATCTCACTGTTTTCAACTTTACTTTAAATAAATTTCACTGGTAACAAGGACATGCTTTCGTAACAACTTCTGGATAACCGCATTTACCGAAAGAAGTTTCATGATAATAAATTTATTAACTGTTATGATCCTAAAATTAAAAATTAGCTTCAGTTTTATCGACTTACGATTTTTATTCTTGCAGAAAGTAATAAGTAACTTTTTTAATTACAATTTCATTTTCACTAATTTCATGTTTCCTCGACGTTTCATTTCTTCTACAGTACGAAAAGTAGGTCTCCCGTGGCCGTCTGTCTTCTATCAGTCGTCGGTCGTCGATTTTATGAGACAGATGATCTCCAAAACCACTGGACTGATTGTTTTGAAATGTTAGATGTATTTTAGGTAATTTGTCTGGTCATCCCCACCAACAATTGATGACATCATCTCAAAATTTTGCTAGGTAAATTCTCTTTAAATTTTATAAAGTAATATGCTTCTACACCTGTAGTTTGTTAATCCACCTTTATTTTTTAAATTAGACGACATTTGGATTCTTGAAAAGAAAAAAAAGTACAACATTTGACATTTAATGTTGAAACTACAAAACCAACTGTTGTGAAATTTGGCAAATATTTTTCCAAAAACTTGACGCCATATCAAAATTTTTCAAAATATGAGTACATGTATATCATGTATCCATATTTTTAGAAATTTTTTATACAGGGTGTCTCAAAACATTAAAAGAAGAAGCAAAATATTTTATTCATTAAACCAAAAACGGCTTGTCTGAATTTGCTGAAGTATTGGAATGCAGTACTTGTTATTAGTTAGTATCGTGTTAAAGGTATCCAAGTTGTTTTATTTGTTCCTACAAAAACGTTGATGAAAGGAAATTCACTTGAAATATACACATAGCATGCTGCTTTACCTGTAGTTTGCTAAACAATATTAACAGTATTTATTTTTATTTTAACTTACAGACGTTAGAAGAAAAAAAAAAACAAAGTTTCAAATTTTATAATTTATTTTGGAAACTGCGAGAGCTCTACCCAAATAACTTCAGACCAATTATCCAATAAAAGTACTTTTATTACACTAAGAATAGGCTCCAAAGATTGTGTTGAAAGCATAAAAAGGCGCAAACTTAGTGCTTTTTTTTTTCAAGAAAATTGAAGTATTATTAAAGTTTTTTAATTTGTCGCCTAAAATATCTCATTCGAAGTAGTTTTTCCCAAAATAATGATATTGTCGCCTTTAAAAAATTGCCTAACTTCGTGAATATTGGTATTGGGGCAAATTATATGGAATTCGTTATATATGACCTATAAATTAAAAACAATTCAATTATGGGTACAAAAAATTGCAATTTTTCACTTTTTTATGTGACACCAATATATCTAAACAAAGAAAATTAAAAACAATAAGGTGCAGTAATAAAATGCGAAGTGTTCTATCAGAAAAAAGTGATACATCGATATTTGATAAGATGGAAAATTGTTATTAATATACATCAAATACAACGAAAACATTTTCTACGTAGAAAAGTGAATAAAATTCCTGATTACTAATTATTGAAATGATGTTTCATGTTTAATAGTGTTTATACATTCCGAAAGTGACACCTCATAATTAAATGAATAGTCATCTTAATAAAGTCATGCAAATGCATGATTATTTTTTAATTAAGTTTGTGTTAAGTCGTTACCACAAGAGAGGAAGATAAATTACTAAAACACTTTCTGATCTCGAATTTCACATAATAACATTATTGGCGTCAATTTACAACTTTGGGAGCGAAGGTGTCCAGTTCTAATAAAACTTTGTATAATGCGTTTACAGAGACAATTTTAATTAGAAAGTAAATATTTCTCCGTTATTAATTATTATTTTATTATAAATTAAAAACAATGCATACCACAACAAAAATTTAGTAAAATACTCGGATATTTTTATTTTTAAAACATACCTGTTTGGAGAACTGAACTGTTGGACTCTTTTTTGTGCAATTTTAATCATAATCGTAGTTTTGTTAATATATTTACTTTTATGCGAGCATTTTTAACTAAACTATTGAAAGTTTCTACGATTATTTTCTGTTTGATTATGGTTGATTTAAGGATGTACTCAAATAAACAGGATTTGTGTTAAAAGAAGACAAAATAATAAATAGGTTGATTCGATAGAATTAAAAATGTAATTTACTCGCGTGTTGAAGTTGTTTTAACGGGATTAACAAAACACGCATTGGCTAAATTATAAAAATTTTGTTTATTTTAATAACATCGAGAACACCAGTATTGTAGCATAGCATTCGTATTAGCAATTAAAATTTAATCGTAGTTAACGTGAACAAATTTCATTAGAGTTAATGTGTGATTATCGTATTGCAGCCGGCCCACGTCAAGGCGTGCTTCCTGGGCTCGTCGTTGACCATACCAATAACCGAGGGCAAGCTGAACCTAGGGACGTGGCAGGGCGTCTGGCTGTGCGAACACAGGGACCACGCGGGCTCACGTAAACTGCTCATAACCTTAAACGGGTGTCTGCGCGACGCCACGTGCACTCCCCTGTCTCCCGTCAGCCCAATGGCCAGCACGAGCAGTTAGGGAAAACACTCGGGTCATTCTTTGTCAAAGCATTGAATGACTCGAGTGCCTCAACATAATTTAAATGAATTGCAACAACTATTACCAACAAAAAAGGAAAAAAATCACCAAAAAAATACATAATACAACCTTCAGCTACGAGCTAGTGTCACGCACAGACTTAAAAAATATTAAACTTACGACAATATGTACATAGCTGTACATTGTATATTACGGTATGTCCTCTCGGTTTTTATTGATAGGGTGATACAAAAAATATAGGCGGTTATGTAATTGTTTTAGGTGCTGTGCGTTCAGTTTTTCTATTTTTATTATTAAGAGTTAATTTGTGCAAACCGAACAAGTTTTTGGGAGTGTCGTTGGTGAGTCTACATTGTTCCTTCTGTTTTTATTGTAATAAGAAAACGAGTTTGTTGACCGTCAAGGAGGTGGCGATTCGTAGCGGAAGCGCCGCAAGATGGACGCGACACACGGCAGAAACACATAACCTTTCACTAAAATTGCCTTAAACCGATAACGAACTAACTCACCATCAAACCACAATCCTCTAGTACCGATCTGTGACAATAAAAGAACCCGTCGTTCGATTTTCGTCGTACGTTTCCGGTACGAATCGACGTTGTTCCTTCGTCTTAAGTGTACATAATAACATTACGGGTTGTAAATAATGTGTGTTGTTACGGACTGATGCTGTCTGTCTTCCTCCCTTTTAGCAATATCCATTTAGTCTATCTCCTCGTCCCGACCCACTTTTGTTTATGTTGATATTGTTTACAATCGGCATACAACGAGCGTTTTTTGTTTGTTTGCTTTTAGTTGCTACTGTGACATACAGGGTACGTAAATTGATAGTTCCGTTGCGTGTTTGCACGCGCCCTCTGGATGGTCGTCCGTTCACTTTATATGTAGCACGTTGTTATTTACACGATTTTTCCCGGATAATCACTAAATTGGGGTGAGGCGAAACTCGACAAATCGTGGCTTACCTTACGTTGACACATTCCATTCGAATTGTATAACGCCATCTGACGGCATTTATTTTACTTTTGTATTGCATGTTGGGTCGTTTGTTGACGACATGTTTTTTGTTTTATATATTTTATTTCATATTATATTGTTTTACAGAATTGCTTTTATTTCATTTTTTCTCTCTCACTCTCTCTCTTTCTCTCAATCCTTTTCAATCCTGCAAACTAGTCAACCGACATGTTTCACTAGTGTAGATAGATGATCACTAAACAAAAATAACAAGAAAATGCAAATTGTTGAAAGATATTGTTTAAAACAAAACTTTTTGAATTTAGATAGATTTTTAGGGTTGTAATAAAATGGGAAATCCGACGGAGGGTGACCGTTTTTCCGTTTTCGGTTCGTAGATTTGACATATCAGCAGAAACGTCCATGCAATAACGTACGTTTGTTTCGGTAGCCCAAGTGCATTTTCCGGCCACTTTGTTTAGCGCGACTGTTCCTGTCGCCCTCGTCGACTTTCCCGGGTGAAAATAGACTATTGTTACCGAGATTTCGGCAAAAATACGGCTCGATTTGCGCAATAAACCGCTTGAAACTCCAGGATTTTCGCTTTTTTCGTTGTAAAATGTAAAAAGAAGTTGAGTTGTACCCATCCGTCCTAATCGTGTAAGTATTGAATTGTGAACGTGTGGCAGAGTGAATTTACGCCTATACGATAACATAGCTGTATTTTTGCCTTTTCGTCTATTTAAAAAAAAAGCTCGACTCTGATCGAATTATGAAAATGAAAAGTTGGGTTTATAAATAGTTCACTGCCACTATACGCAACTTGTAAATATTTGTTTAAAATTTCGTTTGTTTTCTTGAAAATTATTTGATTAGTGTTTTACTTTGCTCACAGATTTGATAAAACGATAAAACGATTATTAATAAAACAAAAAGCGACCTAAATTCCTAAAATTTGTAAATAAAATTTAATAGTTATAGGGATATACAGAGAATTTAATAAAGATAATTGCATATCACGATATGAAAATGCGACCCGAAAATTCCCCGCTCCGTTCCTCTGCTCCTCCACCGACCCCGCCCGTGACCCTGGTATAAATTATTATACGAGATATATTTTCATAATGTGTGCAATTAAAATTTAACTATTTTGAAAAAAAAAAAAAGAAAATCTGTGAGTAAATCAAAATAAACTGATCTGATGTACGTACTGAGTACCAATTTGAGGGTGTGGAAGATTTTAAATCTGTAGGGTTGGCTGCGTTGCAGCCGATCTCGCATTCTATATTGTACCTAGGCGCATAATTTGCATAAATGAAATAAATATAAATATTCACAAAGTGGACATTTTATCATTTCACCTATTTGTATGGAAATTCTCCATTTCTTTATTATAACATACAGAGAGAAAGCTAAACCTAATGAAATCTGTGCTGCAAGTGCTGATCACTTGCTTGTGGAGTCTTCAATTTTATGCGGACCCGGACCTTGGTTAATCTTCTCACGAACTGTTTTGTAGGTGGATCTCATCTCATCCAGGGCTTTGCCTAGTCCAGATTTGATCTGATTGAATTCCTGCGTGACCAAGGACAATTTACCAAGAAGATAATTCAAGTTCTCGTCGACTTCGGTGATGCGACTGGTGATTGTGCCGACCTAACATAAAGAGTGCATTAGGTGCGTGTGAGTGATAATACTTGACAGTTCTAATAAATTATTTTGCAGCAGAAAATTAATGAGCATCTAGAGAATTGAACTGTACATTTTTTGCGATTCATAAAGTGATTAAATTAATAAAATGCTGAAAATATTGACGCAGAATTAAGACTTCACGCTGATCAATGCTCACAGGTAGAAACTAAATTATTGATCATAAATACTACGAGGCAATCATTACGATCGAACGAAAAAAAGTGAAATTGGGTCCTACTGGAAGTGTCTTTTAGGGATATTCTAAAGTTCTACCATTATAATAGAAGAGAATGCACTTTCAAATCTATTCAATCAGTTTTTAAAAGTAATTTTTTAAATACCAAAATCAATTGCTTAAGGTTTGGTTTATAGTTATTTAAGCATTTAGTAACACAGTATCAGCTTGTCATAATGACTCCGCACGCAGTTACCTTTTATTAAATTTAATTAACGTAAATTGTACATTTGAATAGGAAACTTTATCATCTACATTGTTACTACAATTTCCCAAGAACAGATTTTATAAAAACTGAAACCTCGGAAGTTAGTGTCGAAAAGAATGGGATTTCAAATTCAATTGCAATGTCAGACATGTTATGGTGAGATGTCAGTTACGAAATTAGTTAAATTTGCTTAATAGGAATACTTTGTTTGGAAGCTACAAATCAATTTATACTGCACATTAAACACTCATCTAGTGGTCTGTTAAATTAGATGTTGAACAAGGCTATGAAAAAAATCTAGAAGCAATTATGCAGTTGGTGACTTACACACATTTATAATCAAGTGTTACTTATTTCTCCATGTGTATTTCTGCTTGTTAATAGTTTGTTTTGATATTCATATTTTTTGTGATCACGTGGTTCATTCAACATTAAGTTGGCTGTAAAAGATGTAATTTTATGCCACTATTAGTAGCCCTACAACAAATTAGTGAATTTCTAATATATTGAAATGTGTACTTTTTTCTAAAACCCTTCAAAATTAAAAACTGACAATAGGAAAACGTGTCTAGAGGATCCCTAAGATATATGCAGAAACTTTATTACTAATGTTTTGTTTGAATATTTTTGACACGTATTAATGAACAATCTGGATGAATTCTATTTCTGTCGTCATATGTGAATACGACGAAACTCTATTCAAAGTTGTTTGTATGTCATCTTTGCTCAAAACAAAGGACTCATGGCAAAGTTATACACTTCAGTCCTGAAATAGCGACAGAGACAAAATCATTTGTAAGATTATTTAGAGATCCCACTTTAGCACTTTGCTATTAATAATTCAAAACTCGACGTTCTCTTTAATAATTTACATGGAAAGATCGAGGTTCACAAATGTTTGCTATAATTCTTTGTATCAAAATTAATCCATTAGAAGTTACTTGGTCAGGGCACACAATTTCAGAATTACGCAATCTACATGATTCCCACTGAATAGATTCCTAACTTTCGGACATTTTTAGCGTTCCTAATCACAGTTCAGCCCCCAATTGTGACATGTAAAGTGATTAGAATTCAAAACCTTCATCCCTGAGGTGTAGTGATTGTATAGAGACCAGAACACTAAACGTTAATCAAATTATTCGTTTTCTGTGTAACCGAAATGTGCAAAGACAGTGCGATTCCTGAAGCGTGCAATAGGAAGGGTCGTAACATTATATTGTAATATTATTTTCAGTGTTTTGAGTTACATTTTGCCACTTTATAAAACTTGATATTGCATGACTTTAGTTGGTTAGCAAAAAATATCGCGATTTGTAAAGTTAGAAATCCCAAATGCTGAATATACTTATTATACAAAATTGCAACTATAATCTAATAAGAAATACTGGGTGACTGAAGGAAATTTATGGGTTGGCAGTCCTGAATTATTAACAGAATGTCAGTTCAGTTTCAATTATGACATGAGCGGCTTAAAAAATTAATGAGATTGCAGCAGGTAGTTCCAAATTTCAATTTGATATCAGATACCATAAAATTTTAATCAAATATGTTGCCAACCTGACAAAAAATAACAAACATTAATAATTACTTGGATTTATAATGTAATTAAATCTAATCACTGCCAACAAGCTATCTATTTTTAACATGTCATTAAAAAAAAAATAATAAAAAAAAAACGATACGATTTGTTCGATCTAAAAATACGGCATAATCGTAGACATGAGCCTTTTAGGATGTTTGTAAAATACTAAAAACTGTTACAAAATTTCGTCTTTGTTTTTCATCCTGTGAAAGGAGTTTCTCAAAGGGTAATGAAATGGATCCTTCAATAAAATACCACTCATTTCAGTCACATAATATGTCGCAAGAATAAAGATAAAATTGAATGGTCGGGGCGGCATCACTCAAGGATCCATTTCATTACAAAGATAAAAGTTTATTTGCTCCAATGATGACACTGTTAAAATGAACCGCAACACTTTTTTACGTAGCGACGGTGACGTACGTTTAAGTGACAATGAAATATTCAAAACTCATGCCAAAACTCTTTTTTAGAGTAGAAAGTAATTCATTGTAGAATTTTTTTATAATTTTATTAATATTGTAAATATAACTTCATTTGCGCAAAGTTGGGCTAGTTAATGGTGCCTCTAAAATGCATCGTGGGTTTTCTGCCAAGGTTTAAAGGTAATTTAAATTAATGCTTATTAACTAAAAAAAAAAAATGAATGACATCTGTGGGCTACCGGTGGGGCTGGTTATGAAACCGTGTGAAACTCTACCGAGCTATTACAACTTGCTAAAAATTTCCGACTGGCATTTTTTGTACATTTTGTTGTGGAAATATAAAAGTTGGTGCTATTGTTTTTCATAGCTGTTCTTTTTGTCAGTAATTTATTGTTAATGGTTTTTCGCTACCATTTTTTAAGTACCTACAGTAGCTATTTTTCATCCTACTGCACTATTTCATAATGTATTTATTTTATTTTTTAATAGATTGGGCAACCAACATAATTTGTAATCAAGCCATCCTGTTAACTGAATCCGTATGTCTTCACTGAAATGATATATGTTTAACGCTGCATTTAGAGTTACGTCATAGAAAAGTTTTAACAAAATTAATTTTAATTTCCGATAATTTTGTAAACTTATCATTTGAAATAGACACCCAAAAAGTCAAAAACTAAGCTACTTATAAAGTGATTTTTCACTTTGACACCAATTTATTAATTAATTTCGCTGTGACTTTAACATATGACACATGAAACGTCCTTTGTAATCTATTTTCTTGTTATCTTGTTTGTTGTTGCTTCCTGGAGAAACAATATTTACATTAAAAGGTCTTTTCAGAACTTTATTAGCGTATTCACCCCAAAAGTGGCATTTCCATTGGAGCAGAAATAGTTTATGAATGAGTCGTATATTCAAAGTGGACAGCAGCTTTGGATTTATAATAAGGCACACTAGGCACTGGCCTAAGGCATCAAAGCTGGAGGGGCCCCAAAACCTTTGGAAATGTATATTTAAAATAAAAAATTGCAACATTTTATTATCTTAGTACTCATTGACAAATTTTTAATTGTTCGGGTAATTCTTTGTGGTAGGTCACCGCTGCTGACACAGGAAATCACATGTGCAGAAGCGGCCAGTTTGCGAGCAAATCAGTACGGAATACTGAACCTTATAGAACCCGTCTCCTTATGCTAACAAAGGTTGGTTTGCCGTACAAACCGTGTGCAAGACCATAAAGTAGTTTCCGAAATTCCTGAGAATCTAAAAAGGAGATTTTCTAAACAGCAGATCATTTAAGAAACGATATATTTCAGCATCGTACAGTAGCAGATTTAGTAGCTTTCGGCGCTTCGCAATTTGTGCAGTAGCATTACAGTTTGATTTTTATTTCAGTACCTTTGTACTGTAAATGTTATTGTTGTCAGTCGTATTTAGAAAAGGTAAGTTTTCAGTTCTTGTAATTTTCATAAAAGTGAGCGCCATTTCATTTTTTATTGAAGAATTTTTTATGTTTAAAATGAAATTAAAATTCGTAAATTATTAATAAATTTAAAAAGGCCCTTTGACATTGCCAGAAATTAAAAAAAAATGTCAAATTGCTGTTAATTTTTTTTCTGTTATACAAATAGTGTATAATTTTTTTCGGCTTCGACAGGCGGGTAGAATCTTACGAAATCTGCTATTCAAAATGACAACATTTTGAAGAGATTTTCGGGCACCCGTTGGGAGACTCATGCTGTGCAACTTCAGCAATCTTGGAATCGTTTAATAAGATATTAAATACTTTAGACTATATATTTACAAGTATAAACTTGCAAATGAAGGTAAGTAGATTCTTGTTCAATAAACTTAATAAAGGCGTTATGCAAACACTACCTTATTCCTGGGGAGGGTTGGGGGCACCACCAGTCTTTGGTGCCTAGGGCATTAGAATAGTTAAATCCGGGCCTGGTGGACAGAATGTATACGGTGTACTCGACTCTAGCGGCTTGGAGTGAATTCCGGAAAGAATTTCCCAACAACATCGTCGACTATGCCCATTTTTGCAATGCATTGCAAAGATGTGTGATAAAGTTCCGAAAACCCTTGTCAACAAAAAAAGGAGGGAAGTAACAGGTCGAAAGATACGAAAATTCCAGAAAATATTGGAGATGTTATACAGGTAATGGAGCAGGCCTTTACAACTTCCATATATTTAACCCAGCAATTGTAATTATCGTATGGAACTTACCGAGCAATACTGCGAAAATCTTTAGCATTTTTTCCTTATCGAGTAACAATAATTAAGTAAGAATTACATGAAGCAGATTTTACAGCTAGGGTTGACATTGTCATTAGTTTTTGGACACATTTGATGACCGGCTGTTGGAAAAAACTTTTTCTACAGACGAAGCCTGGTTTTATTTGAGTGGATACATTTATTCTCAAAGTATGAGAATATGGAGCACCGAAAGTCCACATGTTTGTACTCAAAAAATTGGCTGCTATTAAGCAACTGTACTGGCG